GCTGTTTTCCTGAGGTGGGATCTCTGCACCCGCCACAGGTGTCAGTGGAGTTGACAGCAACAGAGGGTTTGCCCAGGCCACGGATCCCTTGTGCCAGCGTCACCGTGTATCATGTTGTCTCCAGTGCATGGCTGACAAGGGTTGATTTTGCCCAGTCCCTGGACTCTTCCCCTACCTGCCTTCCCAGCCCCCTTGTCCAACTCTGAATTTTGTACCCCTCTGTGCTGCTGCCTGTGCCTTGGTGCGCTCATCCTCTTGCCAAGCAAGCCCCGCTCTCTGCATGCTTCTGGAGCTGATCGTTTTGCATTGTCCTGGTGCGCAGCAGGAGAAGGATGCTGAGGGGAGAGAAGCACGGGATCTCTTGGGAAGTTACTTTGGCACCTTCTTCCGTCACCTGCCGTGATGCACGTGGACCAGGCCTGCACCGCATTCCTGCTGCTTCATGTTGGGATCTCTCCGCTGGGCTCCGAACGGCTCGAGCAAGGAGTGGCCTGGTGGTAGGGAGCCCAGGCAAGCTGCTAGGACTAAAAGGCTGACAACAAGCTCTTGAGACAGGACTCAGGAGCAGCATCGGGGACGGCACCAGCACCGGCACGCAGCGATCCTAGCATTACAGACTAATCCCATGGACGCATTTTGAGCCCAGCTCAGACAGACTAGACAGTCGGACCCAGCCTCCGTGATGCTGCGTGCAAACCTGCAGTATTCAACACCATTTTAGAAGAAGATGCTCGTTGCTGCTGGCCCCTTCTGCACCCCTGGCTCACAGCGCACTGCTTTTGCAGTGTTCTTGCAAGCTCACGACAGTTGTCATTTGTCATGATGGTTGTTAGCATTATGGGCCAATCAATCAAAGCCTCGGAGGGAAGCCATTTCGTCAGATTAAATTTAAAAAAAAAAAACCCAAAAAAGCCCTGTGACAGCAGCAGAATGAGAGTCGCTTGCCTGTCTAATCCTCAGCTGCAGCTGCCAGGACTGGAGTGGGGAAGTGGCTTAGAGCAAGCTTGAAAGAGAGCTGACAATCTCCGATCACCCAGCGCCGCGCATTGCGGTGCCTTGGGGAACACGATTTCTCTGGCGAGGGGCATTACAATCCGATTAAGTGTTCAACTCGAAGAACAAAAGGGATGATTTGTCTCTGCAGCTTTTGTTTAAAAGGCATCTCTGCGGGGTCAGTTTAGGGCCAGGCCTTGGGTTTGGTGAAAAAACAAAATGAGGGGTCTTGTGCCTGCCTCTGAAGCATCTCCTCCTGGCTGCCAGGTCCCTGGCAAGGACAGGCCAGCGGTCTGAAGAGCTGGCTGCAAATCAAAATGACACTTCTGCAGAAATTTCCAGTTTTGACCTTAGCTTTTCAGAACAAAACATGAGATTTGGCTCTGCATGACAAGCACAGAGACAATAACGGCATTTGGAAACGTTAAGCCATCTTGCTGCTGGTTCCCCTTAAGCTTGGGTTCACGTGAGCTGCTGTGAGGCCTCGTGGAGATCACCTGCGCCCATATTTTCTCCTTTGGGAAACCCCAGTTCCCCAAATGCATTCAACCTCCTGTGAAGCAGTGGGGTAGCTCAGGCAGGCTTTGGATCAGGCTTCATGGTGTGCGTGTGCACATCACCACGCGTGAAAGTGAGCGGGCAGTCACCGCTTCTGTCGGACCTAACTTTGGTCCCCGCGTTGTGATGGCATCGCTAATCCTCATCTGGGACTGGGCAACTGGTCCGCAGCTAATCAGGATGCAAGTGCCATCAAGGCTGAGGACAAAAGGGGAACCAGGGAAGCAGTCGGGGGGTGTCCGTCCGGCAGAAAGGCGGTCAGATGGAGGACCTTCAGGCCAGCCAGTATTTTATCACCCCAACGAAGGGGGTTTAACGTGCGCAAAAGGACTTGAGAGACACGGCGGTCCCATGCAGAGCTGGGCCATGCTCCCCACTGACTCACGGATTTAAAACACCATTTGCAACCAGTTTTGGGGGCTCCCCTGCTTCAGCTCCACTGAAGCCGTATGTTTTCAGGGACAACCGCTTGACCCAACACCAAACGGCAACCCTCCAAAACGGCCAGCCCCTGTTCTCACCTCCATGCTGGCAAAAGGCGCTCTCTGGAAAAACTTCTGCACCCACAGCTCAAAATTGAGGCCGAAGCAGTTGCAGACGGACCAGATGTACACGATCTCGCAGGGGCCCAGCCAAAGGGTGGTGATGGCGAAGGTGGAGATGGTGGCCAGCAGCTCCTTCACGATGTTGTTGTGGTCTTCTCCAATGTGGTCGTACACGTACCTAGGAGGGGCAGTGGCGATGGTTTGAGCGGTGATGGGGAACCCCGTGAGCTCCCCCAAACAGGGTGGCGCTGGAGGCTGCCGGCGAGCTAGGAAAGAGGGCCTTGCTCAAAGGTCTGAGCAATGAACGGATCAGCCTTCTCGCTACAGCTCGGCCGATGCACGTGGTTTTACGCTGCTCTCAGCCTGCAGCTGAATTGGGAGTCGAGGTTGCAGTGAACGGGGCAAAGTGCAGAGGGGCTTAAGCAGACTGGAGTTAACTGGGCTGCCCGTGCGTGTGCCCAGGCACTCGGGGGCCAGATCTGATTCCCTTGGTGGGTGTGCACTGCAGACAGCCCTCTGGCTGTGCCAGGCAGGCAGGTTTGGAAAGGTGTGCAGGGGATGTGCCCAGCAGAGACCGGCTCTATGGAGGACCCAAAGGTATGATGGAGATTTAGGAGCGTGGCCGGACTGGAATCGCTCTGCAGCCGCTCCAGCCCCTTTCCCTCAAGCCAAGACCAGGGGACCTACTTCATGTGCAGGGGATGGAGCTGTCTTCCTAGCCCTGGCAACCTCTCCAACTACCCAGTCAGAGGTGGTTCTGGGGTGAGGTTTTCTCCCTGTCTCTTGCTGAAGCTCTTCCACTTTGAATGCAATAATTCAATATTGACTGGGCCAGAGACAGAGGTGTGGGCAATGCAACAGCCTTCTTGGTTTTGCTGGCGAGAGGGGAGAACTGGGCTCTGCTGTGAATGATGCTTAGTGGGTTTTTTTGCCCCCTCCCAGGCTGGTGACCTGATTCAGGAAGGAGAGCTGTGGAGCAAGAGGCCCCGGTCCCTCGTGCCGAGTGCTGGCCTCCGAGGACGCTTACCTGCACAGCCAGTCGTTGATCCCTCTGTCAAAGTGCCTGCAACACAGATAGGCAAAACCGAGACAGTAGTGTTACGGAGGGGAGCCCTGAACATTTGCATTTCAGTAAATAGCTGCTCCGGGAAGGGCTCCTGCTTGCACCTGTTTACACTGGCGTGACTGGACTGACTTACTCCTGCTTAGGTCACCCAGGTGCTCTCATGGGCTCAAAGCACTGGTGTGCACTCGAGCCATCTACCACGCCATCCGATTTTGCAGACGTTTTGCCCTTAGCTTTTCCCATGCAACTCCCTTCTTTCTCCACCCAAAGCTAAGGCGTCGCATGAAGACTTGGCATTGGCAGGACCAAGGCTCTGGGCCCCTTGCTTGCAGTGCTGTGAATAGGAGTATAAGGGGTACATTTGATATATGTGACCTGGAAAAATGGAGGTGACCCTGTGAATGAATGGGCCTGATGCAATCCTGTTGTCCTAAGGGGACTGTCGTGGACGCCAGAGAAAGGGAAGAGGTGCTAGGTCACTGAATCAATCTCCTTTATGCTGTCTTGTGTCAATGGGATTTTCACCTCTTCCTTTCGAGGCAGCGGGGCAATTCCACAGGACAAAACACCTTGTTATGTGGACGTTGTTAGTGACATTCAGCCTGAACTCCCCTTTCCTTACACTCATTAAGCTCCTCAATGCCCAACTCAATGCCCCTTTTCGGAAGTCCCCCATTGCATGGCACACAACCATTTCCTTCTCCCACATTTGCTATCACTTGAGGGGGGGGTCAAGGGCCAGATTCTCAGTGGATGTAAATCAGTTTATTAGCACAGGTTGCAATGCCAGCTTACACCAGCTGGGCTTGTGTCCGTATCTATCTGGGTTTTTATATCGATGCCCTTCAACATGCCGTGTGAGTACTCTCCATTACCAGCTCGCCCAGGAAGAGCTATGGATTATTTGGCCCTTTGCTTGCAAGCAGGAAAAGAAGGCAAAGTCTTGTCCCTTTCCCACACCTTCTCTTTGGACGGAGCGCGTTGCTTTCTAGGCGCCTCTGTTCCTGAACATTTTCAGGGCACTCACGTTTCTGCAAAGACGTAGAGCATGGTGATGCATTTCGGAGGCTTCGGTGGGTCCAAGTGGTCCAACCTGGAAATGGTGTTGATCACGCCAAACATCACCGCAGCCTTCACCCAGTCATACACCAGGTTGGAGTAGGCCAGACCAGCTGTGTGGGCGTATCGCACGTGGGGGAAAAAAAGAACAGCCTGATTAGATGTAGGACAATCCTAACACGGTGCCACATTAACACTAATCCTCTGGGGAAAGCGGGAGGGCTGATGTGGGAAAGCGTGAGAGACACTTGCAACCTGCTTTTGTTCCAGTGGGGAACAACTTAAAGATTTTGAAATTGTCTGCAAAGGGAAATACTGAAAAAAAAAAAAATCATTGCTAAATGTTTTGTTTTGACAGTATTGAAACATTTTGGTTCAGCTAAAACTTGTAATTGCGTTTTAAAGCTTATAAAGGGGACGGTGACAAATGAGGATTATAAAGAGGATGGGACTAAACTTCTTTGCAGCTGTCCAGGCAGGGAGTGATGGTCTTACATTTCCACAAAGGGCATTTCAGTTGGCTGTTAGGAAGACCTCTCTCACTCTGAGGTTGCTATGAAATCTCCATCCTTCAAAGTTTTTAAAGCCATGTTAAGAAAAAAACCCACTTGACAGGGCTGAGAGGATCTTGTCTTGAGCCAGGGGTTATGACAATATATTCATGGTGATTTGATAGAACTGTGATTTCAGAACAGAAATATTGAAGCATATCAACCTGAAAAGGTTGAAATGGGCTCTTTCGATATGGTCCAAACTTGTTTTTTTGGTATTCTTATGAACTGAAATTTTGGTGAGATTGACCCAGTTTTATGGAGCAGGTTGATGTAGCTAGAACTGCATATGCTGCATCTAGCTTTGCCTGACCAGCCGCAGTTACTACGCGGTGGCTGCGTTTTCTTCCAGCAATGGGACCAGCTGGAGATGTTCTTGGTCTATTAACTCTTTCAGCAGGGACTGGGCCCTGTTTCAGCTATGGGTGTCCTAGGTGGTGTTGCAACACATACACACTAATAGGTTTATAACGCTTCTTCTTCTCTTGCACTAACAAACCTAGAAGAGGGACTTGCATTTTTAGCTTGTGGTTTCAATTCTAGCATGTGCTGCACCTAGGACATCACTACGAGTGCATGATAGTGGCAAGTGCCCGCTTTCTCGCACTGCTATGAATGCTTAGGCCATGAATAGTACTCTGATTGAGTTTTCAAGTTGGCTTATTATC